ATGATTTATTTCGTATTCTAATGAGTTCATTCACATAGTAAAAGAAGTGACATTTTTTGTATTTTGATGTTTTGTATTTTATTGTCACTTATTGTCTCAATTACATATATGTAATTGAAACTCATATTTTTTTAAGATGTTTGTAATAATTTGCTCAATTGCATATAATTTTCTATCATGCACTCGTAATATATTTCTGTATCTAGCACCTTTATACCGTAATTAGTATTTGGGATGTCACATCATGTATCAAGAGATTTATTTTATTTATTACACAAAAAGGAAAACAAGATAAAAATAGAAAAAGTTAAAAGTAAAAAAAAATAACGAATAGAAATGAGGAAAATAAAAGAAAGATGTGATATTTTAAAAAAAATTCAAAATTTACTATTGAAACTCAAGCATTAGAAAAAAAAAATATGCAAGAAAGAAAATCAACATTTAAGACCGATAAGATGACACTCTAATTCAAGGATAATTTAAAATGAAGATTATTTAACAGGAATCGGCAAAATCTAAGAGCAAAGGAAATCAGGAAAATCCTCAACCTCTAAGGGACAACACTTCTACAATTTTGTAAAGTGATGAAGGAGCTAGAGAATTAACCAATAAATAATATTTGATTCGTAAAGAAAATCAATGTGTTTCGAAAATAATATATAAAAACATAAAAAAAAAAATGATGAACAAAAAAACCAAAAAGATAAAAATTAAGAAAATGAAAAAAAAAAAGAAAAAATCACATAAGAAAATAAAGATAACCTGAAAACCTAAAAAGGTGGCCTACCTTGAAAAAGAAATAATTGAGCAAAAACAGAGGTAGGTAAAAAGAATAGAAAATATTTTCTTTAAATCCCGCAATGGGTAAAAACCTAATAAAGGATTAAGAAAAGATTTACCCTAAATCTTATAATGAGAATGCAAGAAATGATAGATTAATTAGAGATTTATCTTTAATCCCTCTATATGGTAAGACATCAAAGGAAAGAATAAGAAGAAATTTACCTTGAATCCTGTAATGAAAAACTAAAAAAAGTAAAGATAAAGGGAAAAGTAGTTTTAAATCCCTCTACATGAGAAAATACCAAAAATAAAAGATCATAAAAAAATTTTAACTTGAATCCTGTAATGGAATGCACGAAGGAAAGACTAAGAAGAGATTTGTGTTACATTGAGCAATATGAAGGTATTAGAGGAAATGTTGAAAAAAAATCTATCTTAAATATCTCTATATTTAAAGGATAAGAAGACAACAAAGAAAAGATTAAAAAAAATCTACATTGAATTTCGATATGAAAAGACAATAAAAGAAAAATTTACCTCAAATATCTCAATATGAGAAGACATTTATAGTATTTTGTATGTGTTTATCTTAAATTCTACAATGAAAAAGATTATGTTTACTCTAAATTTTTTAATAGAAAAAAAAATTACGTTTTTTATTTATGTTCGTCTTAATGT